TTTAGGGACTCACGTTTGGCCTGTCTCAAGGTTCATTGGTGTACATGCTATCATGTGATAAGATATAATATAATATAATATAATATAATATAATATAATATAATATAATATAATATAATATAATATGATATGATATGATATGATATGATATGATATGATTTCAGAGCCCAGGAACTCCAGGAGCTGGAGAACAGGATTACTCAGAGCAAGGTCTTCGTGGTGTCGAAGCAATGGTGCCCTTTCTGCCAGCGTTTGAAGTCTGTGCTGGGCGACATCGGCGTCGCCGCGGAGGTGCTAGAGCTTGAGGACATGAACAAGAAGCCGCTGGTTAAAGACGAAGCAGCGGTCCTGGACTACATGCAACAACGGACTGGCGCGCGCTCCGTGCCGCGGCTTTTTGTAGCCGGCAAATTCGTCGGTGGTTGCGCCGCTCTCCGGCATTAACAGCCGCAAAACCTCCCATTCAAAAAAAGGCTATGCTCTGAATGTTCATGAGATTTGGCACCCAGATCCCAGATTTTTTTTACACCGACAGCAAGCTTTGTAGTATGAGCCTTGCAGATCCCTTAGAGTACCCCGAAAAGCAACCCTGAATCACTGAAGCACTCTTCCCCTTTCCGGCTTGAGGATGACGCCGTGACCATGGCAAGCTCTGGAGAGCTGCAGAAGCGACTGAAAGAGGCTGGGGCCTTGTGACCGGATGCCAAGGAAGGAGAAAAAAGTATCATCCGAGGAGGGTTTGTATATTGAGTAGTGTTTGGTGTTGTGAACGGTATAGCATAGGGTTTATGTGTTTCAGTGTTTACGGGGAGTTGGGTGCTTTTAGGGTTTGGGGTGTGAGATTGTGGAAACACGATGGGGGGGGGAGGGCTTCTCTGGTCCCCCTGGAGTGCTCGGTGCAGCTTTCTGGCTCTGCAGCAAGCTGCACACAGGAGTATCTCGGCTCCAGTGTCGTCCTCAACCACTCCACTCAAGTGCATGTGTTTGTGGTCTTAGCCATCCCAGGACCCCGTATGCAAGCTTCGCAAGCCTCCTTCGAACCTACAACTTGACGGCAACAGCGGGGAATCTCGCCTGAGGTAGACCGGCAGCTCTGCCGTGCAGAACGAGCCTCCCCCGACCAGCACATCCTTTTCAGTCCTTGTCGTTGCTTAAACGCCATGGCCGGATCAGCCTTGCTGCGCAGTTCTGCGATTGGCGGCCTGGTGCTGGCAGCCCTGCAGCTGCCGGGGGGCTCAAAGAAGGCTGAAGTCACAGGAGTGTGGGACCACCGGAGAAGTCTGAGGCCCTGGTGCCCTCGCCTTTCTGTCTCAAAACAGCTCTTGGCCGGACGGAGCCTCAGAGATATGGCGTAGAGCCAAGTCCGAGCTGATCCAAGCTTCGGCGCTTCTGTGCAAAACCGAGGCTGCTTGCTGGGCTACCTGGCGAGTGTCCTTGACGGCTCGGAGAAGCGACCCGGCTGCCGTCGGAGCCCTGAGAAGTCTGAGCGGTGGCGAAATGTGCCGAAAGTTGCTGAAGTTCTTGAAGTGAGGCAGAAGTCCCTGGCTGCTCAGAGTGGTCCAGCGCTTTTGGAACCAGGCACCGCCGAAAATGCAAAAGAACACGTTTTCGGAAACACCGGGCATCCCAGGTCCTGCCCAGATTGTTCAACATCGATTGCAGCTTGGAGGACGAAGAGGCATTCTGTCACATCTCTCGACCTAATCTTGTGACGCTCTCAGCTTGCGAACAGGGGCTTCGAAAGTGTGGCCACTGCGTCGTCGCAGCCTTAGCATCTGCTGCTGTCACATCATCATCTCCTTCATCACCATCATCATCACCACCAATTCAATAGTAGCACAGCACCTTGTTGATACACTTTTAGCAATTTATCATGTATAATGTACTATCCTTCTCACTACCATAGTTGGTAGCAGTACCGGATGCAGTGTTTACAGCGCTATTCTCACCGCCACCGCCACCGCCACCACCACCACCACCACCACCACCACCACTACAGTGTGTGTGAGCACGTGAACAACGACGGCAGGGCATCGAGACTTGCCACGACAGCTCAATAACATCAAGTATGTACTAATCTCCTTGACAATGTAGTGAGCACGGCGACAACTCACGAAAATTGTGAATCAGTGACAAGACTAACGATAGGCAGAAAGGCAACTGTCGCGAAGACGCGCGTCACTACTATGACTCTTGCAAGCTGTTGGTTAAGATAGCCAGAGCTTGTCCTTTTTACCGGCGGAATAGCCGTAAAACAAACAAGCATGCTGTGCAAGTTGTGATTGACAGGAACACTCAGGAACACTAGGCCCAGTCACAGAAACAACAGCAGCCGATTGAGCCTATTGTAATCCCTCGGGCAAATGTCCAGACCTCTTTGGGGCCTAGGCCCCTTCTCGAGGTGGCCGTTCATCCACACGGTGTTCTCTCTTTAGGTCACTATCTGGTGATCTCTGCCTGCCCGCCAGGTTCTTTGTTGTGGTTGCACTTGTGAATCCTACAGATCGACTGTCTCGATTCACATTGATTCGCGCATCGTCGTAGTAGTAGTAGTAGTA